AACGTCCCTCCCAGGAGAACATTCCCAGGTCACAGGCATGGGTGTTTTCCCCTCATATCCCCTGACTCCTCAGAATTATTTGCACATCCGCCTGTTTTGCATTTGGACTATACCTCCGTGTGTGTGTGTGTGTGTGTGTGTGTGTGTGTGTGTGTGCGTGTGCGCGCGCGCGCACGCGTGCACGTGCGCATGCATTACAGAATTTCAATATACCTTTCACTTGCTTGCTACTGTAAAAAACAAACTCTTGGCTTAGCCTCAGACTTCTCCAGCCTGTGGACATGTGCTGCTTCTGGAATTGGGCTTTCTTTCTTTTTTTTTTTTTTTAAAGATGACCGGTAAGGGGATCTTAACCCTTGACTTGGTGTTGTCAGCACCACACTCTCCCGAGTGAGCCACAGGCCAGCCCTGGAATTGGGCTTTCTTGAAGGAGGGTCCTGGAGCCCCCAGAACCTCCCCCCTGCCCGTGCTGTCCCCTGGTGGCTCCTGTCTGCTGTTGGAAATGCCTTTTGCATTCTCCTGGGATTGATCTAGCTGCTGGGCCTGGTTTTTCTTTTCTTTTTCTTATTCAAGCTTTTCTAGAGTTCCAGATTCTTTTCCCCAACAGAGGACTGCGGGAGGACTTTGGGCTCCTTTTCAGGTCTGCAGGGGCTTTATTCACAGTTTGACAAGTGGAGGATCGTAGGTTCGAAATCATGAGTCCTGGGAGCTTTGACGGTGTAGTTCTACTGCCTCCTCACGCCTGCAACTCTGGGGCTTGAGTGGCCTGTTTTTTCTTCCCTGGGAGGTTTTAGAAGCTTCTCTTTGTCCAGCCTGAATAACTTCCCCTTGTAACCTGAAGAACTCATGGAGGAGATTCCCAGGTGTGAGTCTATTATTTTTAGTTCATTCCCCTCAGCACCTTGACGTGGGCTGAAGGTCCGCGTCTTTCGTGACCTCAAAGAAACGGTTTCGTCAGTGTGTCCCTGTCTTCCCTTTTCCCTGCATGTTGGAGATTTCCCTCTCCTTGTTTCCCAGCCTTTCTTGTGAACTGGGCGTCCCTGCAGTGGGGCACATTTGACTTCCAGGAGTGGTTTTGGCCTCCATCCCTCCTGCAGCACCCCATCCTCCTTCACTCTGCCAGTACTCGTGTGTGGCGGACGTTTTTAGGCCCATCTTCTGATGCCGACACTGTCTCCTCGGGGTCCGTCCCCTGCCTTCCTCTCTGCCACGTGGCTGGTTCAGCTCACACATCTCAGGATTTCTGGGTGTCCACCTGTGTGAGGAATGTCGGACGGAGCGGGTTTTCCAGGACGCTGACAGAGGCCCCTGCCCTGTGGATGGAACACAGGAACTCTGGGCACCACGGGGCTGTTGCTGCTGCCTTGGCCTTGGGATGAGCAGGCGCTGGCCCAGCGCTCCACGGCAAACAGAGCTTTCCTCCAGGGCCGTCATCGATGCCAGCCATCCAGCTGTTCCCTGGGGATAGTTTGACTAGGTATAAAATCCCACCAAGCTCTTTAGAGAAGAGCTGTCGGGGCTACCTGCCCATCCCCAGTCCATTTCTGCCGAGTCCTGTCTGGCCTTCTGATCTGAGGGGTGGTGGGTGTGTCTCTAATAGAGTGACATGTGTTTCCCACTTCTTCCCAGCTCTCCCCTCCCCCCCGCCTCTGAGTCTGCCTTCCTGGGACTGGCTGCTGTTCCTGCAGGCTCCCCGGCAGCCTCGTTTGTTTCTCCCTCCTTATGCATCACTTGTTATCCATTGTCTTATTTATTTACATGCTTTTATTGTGAAAAATAATGTTCATACAGAAAAGTGCATTTAAAAATGTTTAGTTGAACAAGTAATTAAAAAGCGCATGCCTGTGCCATCACACCCAGCTTCAGAAACACAGCATCAGTGTCAGGTCCCCAGAGTCCCAGTTTGTAGCCACGCGGTACTTGTTTACCATGTGGACAGGTGACGGTCTTTTCACAGTGGCTCCTGGAGGGCTCTGTGCCCTTCCAGTGATTGGCCGCTGCTCTGATCCGTCTCTCGAGAGGACTTTTAAGCCCCTTGGGAAAATCAGTTGAGTAAGGTTTTAGTCTCTTGTTTTTATGTGCAGTGATTTTTCCCAATTTGGTCACCCACTTAACCTGGTGGCAGAATGGGACTTGGCTCTTTTTATTTTGTAGAAAAACAAAATTTATTGCTTACAGGTTCTGAGGTTGGAAGTCCAAAGCTCAGGGAACACATCTGGTGAAGGCCTTGGTGGTGGTGACAGTGACCCAGAAGTCTCATATGGCAGATGGCAGAGCAGAGAGAGACTCTCACATGCTCTCGTTTGAAAGCCCTCAAAACCACACCCCTGACCACCATTACTAATCCGTTCACTGTGGCAAGGTCCTACAACCTAATCACCGCTTCAAGGCTCCACCTTTCATTACTGTAATAAGACTTCCCACCTTCTTTACACTGTCACAGAGGGGACTAAGTTTTAGGGGGATATTCAAGCCAAGGCGTTCTGCCCCAGGCCCCCTAAACTCATGTCCTTTTCACATACAAATATATTCATTTTGTCCCCAAAGTCTTAACATGTTCCAACTCAAAAGTCCAACGTTCAGAGTCCCATCTGTGAAATCAAAACAAGTTATTTACTTCCATGATACAATGGTGGGACACACATAGGGTACATATTTCTGTTTGAAAAGGGAGAAATAGGCCAAAAGAAAGGGATAACAGGTCCTAAGCAAGTCCAAAACCCAGCAGGGCAGGCACTGAATCTTAAAGCTGGTGAATCATGTACCGTGACACCATGTTTCATGTCTTCTGCATGCTGGTGTGGGGGTTGGGTCCCCAAGTCCTCAGACAGCTCTGCTCCTGTGACTTTCCTGGTCTCAGGTGATGCTTCAGCTCTTGCAGGCTGGTGTTGCTGGCTGGTAGCAACACAGGTCTGGGTCTCCATGGCAGTCCCAGTTCCATGGCTCCACTGGGCATGGTGCTGATGGGGTTTACCTGCTTCAACTCTGACCCCATGTTTCCTCTTGGCGTTGCTGTAGTGAAGATTGTATGTGGTGAATCCACCTCTGTGACAGATCTCTTCCTGGGCCCCCAGACTTTTCCATACATCCTTTGAAAACGGGGTGGAGGCTCCCAAGCCTCCACAGCTCTAGCATTCTGCAAGCCTGCAGACCTAACATCACATGGATGCCACCAGGGCTTCCAGCTTGTATTTTTCAAAGATTTGGGTCCAGCCACACCTGGGGCCAATTTAGCCACAGCTGGAGCAGCCAGAGCAGCTGGGGTGCCAGTGCAGGGACCAGCATTCTGAGGTGGCCCTGGGCAGCGAGCCCATGCAGGGTGCCTCGGGCCTATTCCCCAAGCCCATGCTCTCTCCCTAGGCCTCTGGGCCTGCAATGGAAGAGGCAGCCTCAAAGATCTCCAAAACGCCTTCACAGTCTTGTTTCCCTTCTCTTGGTAAAAGTGTGACAGGGCTGCACCATTGCAGGCTTTTAGCTTCTCTCCCACATGGCCAGGCTGATAGTTTCCCGATTTTTTGCCCTCTGCTTTCTTTTGAATGAACGTCTTTTAAGTAAATTCCTGCTTCATGTTATGCCTTTGCACAGTGCAGGCTGTTACAAGCAGCTGCGTGACTTCCTGAATGCTTGATGCTTAGAAGTTTCTTCTGCCAAATACCCTGATTCGGCACCTTGAAGTTCCATGTTCTATAACTTTGGAGCATGAACAGAATGTGGCCAAGTTCCTGGGCAGTTTATAGCAAGGGTGATCTTTGCCCCAGTTTCTGGAAATCTCCTTATTTCTATTTGAGATCTTCTCAGAATGGCCTTTATTGTCCATATTTCTATCAGCATCTGCTCACCACCATTTGACCAGCACCTATGCTTTTTCTAGCCTTTTCTTCCAAATTCCTCCAGACTCTCCTCAACACCCAGTTCCAAAGCCACTTCCACATTTCCAAGTGTTTAAGTAACACCCCAACTCTCTAGTACCAGTTTTCTACATTAGTCCACTTCTGTTGCTTTTAACAAAATTACCTGGAATGGGTAATTTATAAAGAAAAGGAAATTTATTGCTTACAGTTTCAGAGGCTGGGAAGTCCAAAGTCCAGGGAACACATCTGGGGAGGGTCTTGGTGGTGACAGCAACCCAGGGTCTCACAGGGCAGTTTGGTAGAGCAGAGAGAGAGAGAGAGTTGTCTCTTGGTGAGGGTGGATCCTCCCCTCTGTGCACTCAGGTGTGAGCAACCTGTGGCTTCTTGCTGTCCGAGGGCCACTTGCCACGTGCCACTTCAATGACGTGTTGAATCGAGGCCTTTTGTAGTTTGTTAGAGATTATTATAAAAGGGATCAAAGTGCGTAAATTCTCATATATTTAAAAAGGAAATAAATAGGAAACAAATTCAGTAAATCTAGGCTAATTTTTACTTTATTTTCTGTATTTACTGTCCATCAATTTCATCCAGAAGAATCTCACTTCATGGCGTGATGCCTAGTTTGGGAACCTTGGTTTCCTGTAGGAAATGACACCAGGGAGGCTTACACGCCGGCCTCTGCGCCTGTTCTCCTTCTGGGCTTTCCTCTTATTTTAATGTGCACTGCGGAGGTCTTAATGATTGTTTCCACGTAAAAGCGATAGGATTCTGGTAGATAAGTTGCTAACATTTAAGGTGTAGGGGTCTTTAGTTCTGGCACGTGGCTTATTCTGTGGATGTTCCGAGTCCCATGTCATTTGAATGCTGGTGTGCACTGTAGCAGAGACCAGGACACGGAGCCCTTCCACATCCCTGAGCAAACCTGAGTGGAGAAGCCTCCAGCTGAGCGTGGGACGCAAGGGAGAGAAGTGCAGCGTCCCTCCTGCCTGCGGCCGGGCGTTGCAGCAGCGGCTCCTGCGGGCACAGACCGGCCACGGCCACGCCCTGGACGCCCTCAGCAAAGGCTGCAGCCTGGGCTTCCTGTGTTGTGTGTGGTTGCATGTGCGTCCCGCAGCCCCTGCACCATGTGACCCAGCCCCTCTTTTGCAGGGTGGTGGACTTCCTGCTCAAGGCCATCATGCGCACCATGTGGTTTGTGGGTGGCTTCCACCGCGTGGCCGTGAAGGGGCGGCAGGCGCTGCCCACAGAGGCGGCCATCCTCACGCTGGCACCACATTCCTCCTACTTCGACGCCATCCCTGTCACCATGACAATGTCCTCCATCGTGATGAAGGCAGAGAGCAGAGACATCCCAATATGGGGAAGTGAGTGAGCCCCTCGCCCCGCTGGGAGTGAGCTCCCTGCTGGGAGTGGGTGAGCCCCCCGCTGGGAGTGGGTGAGCCACCCACCGTGTGGCAGAGCCTGTCCACGCAGGTCACATGAGAACACGGGGCCGGTCCACACAGGCCGCACCCACACAACACAGGCACCTAGCCTTGCGCCCCACTTCTTTTCCTTGTGGTTTTCCTCTGTAGCAGTGACTGTTGTGATTTTCATTAGCACCCGGGTGCCCTCAGATACCATCACAAGTTCAAGTGCTTATTCTAGTTCCGTTTAGCAAGGATGGCTAACCTTTATCAGACAGACGTCCTAGACGTCTTTGGGAGCAGCTCAGGAGGGTGTCCCAATGCACTAGTGACTGCACTGTGAATCCAGGTGTGTGAGCGTCCTGCCGTAACACATCACCAAAGCTGCTGGCTTAATAAGGCAGAAATCCATCCCCTCTCATTCTGGAGAGCAGAAATCTGAAATCAAGGTGTGGCAGGGCCACACTCCCTCCAGAGGCTCCAGGGGAGGACCCTTCTTGCCTCTCCCTGCTCCTGGTGGCCTCAGGTACTCGGGGCTTGTGGCCGTGTGGCTCCAGCCTCCGCGGGCACACAGCCTCACAGCCTCTTCCCTCTGTGTCTCTCTTCCATGTGTCTTATAAGGACACTGGTCACCGGAGAATCCAGGATGATCTTGGCTTAAGATTCTGAACCAGTTACATCCGCAAAGACCTTTTGTCTAAATAAGGCCACGTTAACAAGTTCTGGGGATTGGGACATGGGCACACTTTGGGAGCCACTGTTGAGCCCACAGCACCATTGCTCAGTGCGAGCTGCCGGGAGCCCTGGACCAGCTAGTTGCGCTGTCCCCTGACATGGCAGATGAAGACACCTGTCCCCCCCGCCCCAGCAAGTGTCTGTCCTCGCGGTGCCTTCACAGGATCTGCTGGCCCTGCCTGGCCCCACATCCCCGACGGTGCCTCCATCGCCGTCTCTGCTGCCTTTGAGCACCGTGGTCAGGACAGGTGCTGGGCAGGGCTGGCAGTGAGTGCTGCGTGGGCAGAGGGGCCTCACCCTGAGCCACCTGCTCCAGCTGCCTCCCCTGCGTTTCTGTGTCACCTAACACCATTCACGTTCATGTGACACTTACATAGAGAAGACTGTGTATGTTTTATTTTGTCTTTCTAATAAAAGGAGTGTTGGGGGGTCTGATTTACAAAACAGATGCTGAACAATGTCCATTCGCTTGAGCGTGGACTGGGTGTTTCTGGTCTAGCGAGGAGCAGTTTTTCTTGCTGTGGGATGAAGTCAAGTAGCTCACGCGTCTGGTGTCGAGGGCGCGTCTCCTGGCGCGGCCCCCGCCCCTCGGCCAGCTCCTCCTTCCCTCCCTGCGTGGAAGGCTCGAGCAGCGCTCACCTGATTCTTCTTTCCTGTCCCGCTCGAACCACCTAGAGCCTAAGAGGAAGCATGAGTTTTTTTAACAAACGTCTTGCCACCAAGAGCCCCACGTCGCCTTCCGGCTGTTGCAGTCCGTTCGAGCTGCTGTAAGAGAATGTCGTACCCTGGCTGGCTTGTAGACAACGGAAATTTATTTCTCTCAGTTCTGGAAGCCAGAGTCCAAGGTCAAGGCGTGGCAGACCGGGTGTCTGGTGAGGACCCGCTTCCTGGTTCACAGAGGGCGCCTTCTCCCTGCGTCCTCACATGGTGGCAGGGGAGCGCGAGCTCTTGGGGCCTCTTTTAGGAGGACACTGATCCCACTTATGAGGCTCCACCCTCCTGACCTCATCACCTCCCAGAGGCCTCACCTCCTAACACCATCACCTGGGGGGTTGGAACTTCAACGAGGGACTTTGGGCAGGACACATCCAGTCCATCGCACTGTCCACTGAGGGTTGCAGCCATGGTGGGATAGGAAAACTGGACATGAGACAAGGAAGCCCCCAGCCTGGCACACTGGGCACCAAACCCTCGGGAGCCAGCGGACATGTCGACCGTGGCCAGTGCTGGTGGAGGCAGGAGGCTGGTGCCAGGCAGCGACTCGTGTGGTCTGTCTGCACGTGGTAGGACTGGAGGTCTGTGTGGCCCCCGTTAGGGCTGCAGGTTCGAGGTCTGGACTCATAGCTCTGACCACTCTCCTGCCCCCAACCAGCCAGGGAAGCTTGAAGGAGCCTGGGCAAGCCCACCACAGACACGCTGCCGTCCCAGCTGCTCTCCTCCCCCCGGGAAGGCCATGTTGGTGCCACCTCAGGGAAGCACCTGCAGCTCACCAGGCCCCACCAAAGAGACTGCAGAGACTCGAGGACACGGTCGGTCAGCAGCAAGGGCAGGCACAACACAGGGTTTGAACCTGGTCATCCAGGCCGGCTCCTGCACTCCTGCTGCCTGTTGCACTGACTGAGCTGCCATGGCTTGTCTGTCTCCTGCGGGATAAACCAGACGCTGATGCCGACACACTTCCTGATCACGAGGAACATTTGTAACAGCCAAGTAGGGGACATTCCCCTGCTGTGGGTACCAGGATGGCTCAAGACCTCCTGTTTGTTACTTAACCCACTCCCTTCTCTGGAGGCAGGTGCCCTTCTCTCTGTGCATATGGCCGGTTGAGGAGCCAGCCACACCGACCCATGGCCGCAGCACAGGCAGGTGGCCAAGGATGGGTTCGAACCCAAGCAGGCAGCAGCAGAGTCCCCACCCCTGTCCACAGCATGCACAGCCACTCTGGTAGCATTCCAGATGCCTCCGCATCTCCGCCGAGGTCTACTGCAAACCCAGCTTCTGTAGCACAGGTCCCCTCTGCACCTGCTCCCGCCCGAAGCGTGCCAGCCTCCAGGTCTTTCTCGAGGGAGGCGCATGTCCTGCTCACACAGTGGATTTGGGGAAGTGGTGTGGTTGAAGTGTCACAACAAGGTGTTTGGAGGTTGGATGGGTCAAGGGTGAGTTCTGTTGGTTCAAGACGCTGGGCACATAGAGCTGGCTTCCTCGGCTGGGAAGTCGTCTCTGATGCTGTGGATGAGCACTTTGAGGCTCGTCCTGAGCATGAAATAAGAGTCTCCAGCTCACCGTTCCAGGCAGCCGGGGTCCAGCTGAGAGGCCAGCGTGGAGGTGGACAGTGCAGACCACGTGTAGTCTTGACCCTGTGAGTGATGTCACAGATCCTCTGTGGGGACATAAACTGGCTGTTCTGGGGCCATGGGTTACGAAAGTGAGAAGGCACACCACCTGAGACCCAGGCCCCGAGCAGGCAGAGGCAGCCCCCTTCCTGACGGAGCTTCCTGGAGGGGGTTTGAGATCTAGACCGTGTGGCCAGGAACTGAGAGCCTACTCTTCCAAAGAAAGGATTATATACCACGCGCCTGGAAAGTCAAGGCGAATTCCAGGAATTTTCTGAAAACCAGGCAGAGGCATGATAACAAGGAAATTTGTGTTCACGTTAGTGATCTGAAGCGTCAGCACAAACCCTGGGACATGGGGGGGCGTGGTCCCTGGTCAGAGGGGACTTGGGGTTTTGCAGAGATCGTGTCTGTTCTGTGTCCTTCCTTTGTGGTTTTAAGGCTTCAGGCTGTGAGTGTCAGCATTTCTGGGACCTTCTGGGGCGGGAAGCTGTGGTCACCATCATTCACACACACCTTGGCTTTGACCACCAGGTAGAATCCTCGCAGATCTTGCGTACCCGTCCACGCCCCAAGGCCAGGGTGTGGGACGCCAGCCCTGCTGGGCTCTGGGTCAGAGCTGGGCGCCAACGGCCCCACCGCCATGAGGAGGGATAGTCACCGCTGTGTGTGCTGTGTGCAAGGCGCTCTGTCAAGCCTTTGTGTTTCTGGTCATAGTGTGGACAATTTGCAGACCTGAGTGAAGGGACGGTGACAAGCAATCTACTAGAAATTCAAGCTAGGCTTCAAATGCGGCACACCCCACCTCCTGTTCCCCGCCTCCCCGGTTTTCAGCATGCCTGGCAGGGGCGCTGTCCTCCGAGCGCTGCTGACGTCCCCTCCCCGCCACCGTGAGCCTGGGATGTGTGCTGATACCGGAGCGCAGCGCCGTCTCCCACGGCTTCCAGCGTGTCGTAGCTTCCAGCCCCTCTTTGGAGACGTTGACAGTTCACAACTTCTCTGAAGAGATGAGTGTTGAATATATTCAAAATATTTTCATTTTAAATTTATGAATACTGACTAGAGTGCTCAACCCTGTGAATTTTTTAATTTTTACATTACCATTTTCTTGCAGTCGCCTTTATTCTATACATGCCCGTCTACTTATGAAAAGTGAGTCTGGTGCTCACACAGCAGAAAGGTGAAGGAATGCCGTCACTGTCCCGCTGCGGGACGGCCGTCCAGCTCCTGCCACACACGGCATGCCGAGGCCCTTCCCTCCACGGGACCCACGGGGGCCGGGGCTCCTTCTGCCCTGGGAAGCAGCTGCCCAGGTGTCAGGTCCTGGACTGGGAACACTCATCGGGTGGCCCATCTGAGACGTGCAGCCTGGGGTTTCGCTCAGAGGGTCGGTGTTGCCACCGGGGCCCCCGACAGCTGCTTCCTGTCTCCTGCGTTCATCCTGGGACCCCCTGAGAACTGTGGCGTGCCTTCCACGTCGATTTTCTCTTCTTTGCCGTTATGGACAGAAAAGGGAAACTTCGGAAACCTCGCCTCTTCAGAGACACAGACCGGCGATGAGACTATGGAGGTGAAGCTCCAGGCCCCTGTGCGCTGCCCCGGAAGACAGGCCGGCTCCGGGCAGACCAGTGAGGAACGCGACAGGCTGAGCGGTCGCGCCGTCGGTGCCCCCACGTCCCTGCTTCCCTCTCCTCCTGTCAGGCGTTTCTAGCGGCGTCAGGATAATCAGAGAGTAAGGGCAAGATCGTTGCTAGAAGGTGGAGCAGCAAAGTGACTGAAAGCCTAGGAAAAATGAGATCGCCAAGACCCACGTGTATCTTCAGGGTTACAAGAGGGTCTCGTGGGCCCCACGGGTCATTGTGAGACAGAAGGAATGTTCTTCTTTTTAAAATGGGTTTTCTCTTTG